ACAAAATAATTCAAATTAAGTTGAATCTTCTATTAAATTGGTTTATTTGTGTTTATAAAAACATTATCAAATAAAAGAAATAACCCAAATACTTATCTATTATTTTTTAATAATTGGTACATTAAATATTGCACATTCCTTTCAATTCTAAACTGTATTTCAAAACTCTGTACTATTTCCAAAATTTATAAAAACCCTTTGTCTTAATTTCCCATTATTTACTGTTTTATATTTGTTTTATTTTTTATTTTCCTTTTTGTTGAACCAACAACGGTACACAGTTTTAAACCCTTAAAAACCAATACAGTTTCAATTATTGAACAAAAAATCGGGAAATCACCCAAATATTGGGTAAATCTTTCCCGATTTTCCAGGTTCGTTATTTGGTTAGCGATCCATTTGATAACTAAACGTGAGTAAAATTGTATGTTTCAAACAAACATAAGATAAACGACAACATAACCATAAACAAACGATGTGATGAAAGACACCACAACATCGAATAATGCAACATTTTTACTAACAATCAGTTTTTATTTATTTTAACAATTAAAAAATGGTCATCGATAACATAAAACGACAAACATTTAAAAACAAACAAATTCGCTAATTACTACAGTATAAAATAAAATTAATAGTTAAAAAAATAAAAAAAAACTTTTCAATTGTTAAGTCTTAAAAGTTTATAAATGCTGGTTTCAGGAGGCACCAAACTTCAGTTTTTTTTCCACGAACAGAATGTTTTTCAAAAAGTGGTTGTGTTGATTACATTTTTTTTACAAAAATAATATAATAAAAAACTTTAAAAAATGGTAAAAACGTGGATAATCAAAAAATTATTTTAAATATAAAATGTGTTACTTATATTATTTTGATCATCAAAATCAAGGAATTTATTATATATCAATATAATTATTTTGAAGAATATTTCGTAACACTCGTTTATCACATAAGTTAAATTAGCATGTTGTTTCATTATTATTGTCATACTAAAACCACATAATCAAACCATTGTACAAACCTAACCATTTTCGTTTTAATAATATATAACTCTGTTATATATAATGTAGATTTGCAAATGTATTCATTCATATTTTAAAATTTATATTCAAACTTAATTATTTTATGTAAAAACATGTTCATCAGATATATTCTTCGCGATTTATCTCTATATATTTAAAATTATTTCCTAAATTATAATTAACACGACATTTAAATATAATTTAAATTTTAATTTGCGCCTATCTACTAAAATTAATTAAATAACATTTAAATATTTTCATATAGATCAAAACACATTATTCACTGAATACAAGTCTTAGTATTTTATCAACAAAAACAATTAATATTTTCAACTTAAAACTAATTGCTGTTTGTTTAAAATTGAAACATTTTAAAAGTATGATTTCTATTCATTTGAAACTTGTTTTTGTTATTATACTTTATTTCAAAACAAAAGTTAAATAAACAGATAGATAAAAGAAACCATGTAATGTATGATAATAAAAAATTATTTGAATACATTTTACGTGCATTAGTTTTATACTTATCTTTTGAATAATAATTTGTCTCTGATACACACTGATTTGATAAAATGTTTTGTTGTTAATTTTTGAACAAAAAAATGGTAATATGTGGTTCTTTTTTTGTTTATTTTTATTTTCAAAAGCAAAAAATAAATATTAATCAAAACATTTAAAAAAACAATCTTTTGTGGAAAAAAACAATAATTTGGTGCCTCCTGGCTGGGTTTGCTCGTTTATACTTTTCATTTTTATTGGAAACACGTTTTGGTGATTCTATAATCACTGACATCAAATTATAAACATGGTTCGAAAATTTGAGTTTTTTTATTAAAGTATAATTAATTTTAATTTACTAATTTAATATAACCAATCTTTTAATTGATAAAAATTAAGTAAACATCAAGTTTGTTTTCAAAGTTAAAACAATGCAGAACAGTTACTTTAAAGATACAGAAACCAAAAGAGACAAAAAATTAATAACAAGGCTTAAAAATTGCATTTAACAGCTTGTTTATATAGTTGTTCCATCCACATTTTAAATCCTTGTTTGATGTATAAATATTTGGCTTATAAAAGTGGGTATAACCACATCCACAGAATAAGGACAATGAACATGGGCGATAGAACGCACAAACAAAACTGAAAGGTGAAGTTTAAAAGAATGGTAAATACTTTATTTTTGACAGTTCAAGGTGGAAAAGGACTGTCAAAAATTGGTAACTTAATTTTACAAAACTCAGATACACAACAAATAAAAATTTTTTTGTTTTAAATAATCAAAGTGAAAACTGGATAATTTATAAAATTGTTTTTTCAACTCAAAATAAGTCACTTTTTTAATTTTGTATTTGAACAAAAAAGATGTTTAATTTAGAACGGCGTGTCAGAAACCAATTTAGATTATGAAAAACCGATAAATTCCGAAACTCTTCAAAAAAACTAATGTATGTCTCGTAACAGCAAAAAAAGACTAATTTGTACACGTGGGTAATAGAAACATTGGTCTGTAAAGACCATCAAGTTAGGCGAAAACTAATCGATTTTGTGTTTTTGAATTTGTTTAAATTATTCTAAAAATAAAATATGATCTGAATAAATATTATTCAGTTTTCATTTTCCCACAAAAAAGTTGATATAGTTGACTTGCTAAGGTTAAAATAAATCATTTGATGAGTTTATATGAAATAAAAATAAAAATCGAATAACTACAAAAAAATTGATGGAAAACGAATTAAAAACGCTTTTATCACTCTGCACAGACGCAAAAAACGCGGTTTCCAATTTCAATGCACTAAAAATTGAATCCGATTATGTCGACGACAAGTCACTTGACATATCAAAACGGATTGAAAATGCAGATAGTTACTTTGACAAGCTTGATGAAATTATTGAAAGAAAGAATAAAATCACATCATTATTTAATACAATTTTAAACAATTTTCATACTTCAAACGACACAATTAATAACGAGTTGGCTTTATATTCAACACAACTTGACAATGAGAAGATGTACGATTTATACAACATCAAAATTTCACTTCTTGAGGAAAAATGCAAAATTGATATCAAACCACTTGAAGACCAAATCAATGAAATTGTTCAAGCAAAAAACACAGAAATTGATAAAATGAAAACAACTGAGAAATTTGTTAATACAAAAAAACAACATGAAGAATTGGTTGAACAACAAACTGAAAACCAAGTAAAGGATGCCGATAGAATGAAAATAGAACATATCACACGTGCAGAGAAAGAAGGTCTTGAAGAGTTGACAGGAAAGAAGATTGGAAGTGTTGTGTTTGACTCGTACAACGACGACTGGTCACAAAACAATTCCTTATTTGACACAAAAGTTATTAACAAAAGCAACTTGTGCTTTTTAATAGAAGACACAAATCACAATAAGTTTGGTGGAGTGTACACTGGAAATATTAATGCTGTTGGCAGTTATATTAACAGTAACAATTCATACATCTTTTCACTTGTTAAAGATGGCACTTTGAATCCAAATAAATTTAAGAAAAGCAGCAATAATGCCAATTGCGAATTTATTATTTATTCTCAAAATATTTCGGTACTATTTTCATTTGGCTATGGTAATGATATACGTGTGTACAAGAAAGATGTCTACGGGAGTTATTGCAAACCATCTACTTACACTGCAAAATGTAACGATTTGACTGATAATGACATGTTTACACCAAAGAGTATCATTGTCTTCCAACTTAACTAACTTGCTTATAATTTTTTAGTCATTTTAATGTTTTTTATAAAAAAAATAATATGAATTATTAATAACCTGATGAAACGTATTTATATTTTTTTAAAACAATTATTAGAACATTATCTCAGTGATAATTAATATAAGAAAAAACCAACAATACAAGTCTTAATACAAAGCTTTTTAATAAAATTAAGTTTATTATGTATAAAACTATTAAATGGTTTAGTGATTAGAATGACAACACTAAAAACCACAATTTAGTGATAAAAACCTGATAACAACCAATTAATTTGGTTCTATAGTATATTAAATATATCTTTATTAAAGAAATAGTTACTTCGACATGTGACTTAAATCGCTTTAAAAAAAATCTAATTATATTGTATATAATAGTTTCTTTTTTGATTGGTTGATTATCATTTTTGTTTACCAAAAACATTTAAAAAGTAATAATAAAAATCAGCATATTGAACAAAAACATTACTGTTACCTTATTATAAAATAAATAAACTCAAATTTAAACATTATGCCAAGGAGACAAACACATCAAACTGAGCCACATGGAATTGTTGAACAAGAAATAGAAGATGAAGAGGCGGAAACACAAGCTGTAATCCAAACTCCTGAAGCACGATCACTTTCAAGACAAATATTGTTTTACGAATATTTACTCGAACGTTATGGTGGATTTGAAAGTCTTTTTGAATTTTTGAAACTTAAGCCACTTGTTTTCCTTGCATTACATCCAGTTGTTGGAAATATATATCTAGATAAAAGAGGACGCAAATCATTTTTCAACAACCCCAACGACAGACTTCTTTTGTTATACTTATTTTGTCGATATAATAATTTGAAAATGATAAGAGATATGTGTATTCCATATATCAGAACTAACGAACAAATAAGCATAAAAATCGATTTAAATGCTTCTTTATTTAGAGTACACTTCAAAATGCATGAATAGCATTCAAAAACGAAAATTTGTTAAATACTGGTGTAAGTTCAATTGTTGATTGTACAGTGACACCAACAAGACGTCCAAATGGCGATTTTGCTTCAGCTATGGGTTTTATTGTGGAAAATACAAAATGTATTGTGTTAAAGTCGAAGTGATTGTG